GTTTGTTTATCAATGACTCCTCTTAACTACAACTTTAGTGATTTCTATTTAGTACTTTAGTGACTTCTATTAAGTACTTCGTTCTCTAGAATGCTGGGTTTGTTTATCAATGACTCCTCTTAACTACAACTTTAGTGATTTCTATTTAGTACTTTAGTGACTTCTATTAAGTACTTCGTTCTCTAGAATGCTGGGTTTGTTTATCAATGACTCCTCTTAACTACAACTTTAGTGATTTCTATTTAGTACTTTAGTGACTTCTATTAAGTACTTCGTTCTCTAGAATGCTGGGTTTGTTTATCAATGACTCCTCTTAACTACAACTTTAGTGATTTCTATTTAGTACTTTAGTGACTTCTATTAAGTACTTCGTTCTCTAGAATGCTGGGTTTGTTTATCAATGACTCCTCTTAACTACAACTTTAGTGATTTCTATTTAGTACTTTAGTGACTTCTATTAAGTACTTCGTTCTCTAGAATGCTGGGTTTGTTTATCAATGACTCCTCTTAACTACAACTTTAGTGATTTCTATTTAGTACTTTAGTGACTTCTATTAAGTACTTCGTTCTCTAGAATGCTGGGTTTGTTTATCAATGACTCCTCTTAACTACAACTTTAGTGATTTCTATTTAGTACTTTAGTGACTTCTATTAAGTACTTCGTTCTCTAGAATGCTGGGTTTGTTTATCAATGACTCCTCTTAACTACAACTTTAGTGATTTCTATTTAGTACTTTAGTGACTTCTATTAAGTACTTCGTTCTCTAGAATGCTGGGTTTGTTTATCAATGACTCCTCTTAACTACAACTTTAGTGATTTCTATTTAGTACTTTAGTGACTTCTATTAAGTACTTCGTCCTCTAGAATGCTGGGGTTGTTTATCAATGACTCCTCTTAACTATACAACTTTAGTGATTTCTATTTAGTACTTTAGTGACTTCTATTAAGTACTTCGTTCTCTAGAATGCTGGGTTTGTTTACCAATGACTCCTCTTAACTACAACTTTAGTGACTTCTATAAGTACTTCGTTCTCTAGAATGCTGGGTATGTTTGAGCATATATACATGTTTATTATATAGTATAGAGAGTGAGATACTGAAAAATACACAGTGAGATATTTTCCATATCTGCACTAGTGAAGATATCGATTACGTGACTTTTTCCAATTTGCTTTTGAGCGTGAAATTTCACAATTTTTTGCTTGGGACTATATAATAAACATAACATTACACGGTGTACTCACTCGCTGCGCTCGTTCGTAAAATATTGTTTTCACCACTCGAAGATAAAAGTCGTATCTTCGCGCCGCCGTGTAATATCCTCTCTATATACACAATTTAAAGCCGGTTTTCCACTAGCGAATTTTTTCGCGCGAAGCGACCTTTTTCCTTTGTCGGCATCCATTTTGTCACGTCTTGCTGACGTAATAAGTGATACCGACAAAGGAAAAAAAGGTCGCTTCGCGCGAAGAAATTCGCTAGTGGAAAACCGGCTTAAGACTGCACCAGAATCGCAGGGCCGCAAGTTCGATTCCTGCCAGAGGACCTAGTGTTGCATTTTTTCGAAACCGTTCCTGGCTTGGTCTTAAGTTGTGTATATATATATATATATGCTCACCAAATCCAGCATTCTAGTTGAAACAAGTGAAGTGCAAAAAACATCTTTCAACTTCGTTCTCTACCTTATTGTCAAATTCTGTTTTTTGTTCATGTAATTTCTTCGTCAAGTTGCTGATCTCGTCTAAAGCTTTTTGCAGCCTCTCCTCTCCCGACAAATCTTTGGAAATAAATTCACTTTGTTTTATCACTGCTTCGTGGTCGCGATTAGCCTGCAAGAAAATTTGTTTCTTTTTGTCATTAGAAGAACTATGTATTTTGGAAACACGAAAAGTATGGGATGGGGAGTGAAGTGATGGGGGCACGGGTTCGCATGTAACGTCCACCTCCGAGGTTGGATTCCTGCAATATGCTGGTGTGTGACAATGAGCTCTATATGTACTGGAGTAAGAACGTCAGTCATTTGGCCTATGAAAAAAGTGAAGCCAAAATGGCGGAATAGTTATGAAGGTCATCATCATCATCAATCAATTTTATTTAAATGAAAACACGCTAGCCTCGCACAACTGAAAGTTGATTTACAGGAGGGGCGTGATATATAAAACAGTAAAATTATAGAATATTATATAAACTCCCCCAACAACAACAACAACAAAGAAAAATAAAGTCAAGTAAAGTAAGTAAAGTTACTAAAGAGAATTAACTATAATTAAGTCAACATGGTTCTAAAAGGACAGTTCCGCAATACTATTCTTAAATTGACTGAGCGAAGTCGCTCTTTTTGCATCTAATGGAAGATTATTCCACAGCATTATGCACTATATTTAAAGCTTCGCTTCAAAAAATTAGTTTTTGGAAGTGCTAGATCCGTTTCCTCATTTCGTAAATTATGGCCTCTATTAAGTTCTCTAAGTCTTACGAGGCTTTCTCTTAAACATGGCGAATAATTTTCATTAAGGACTTTATACATTCGGAGCAATGTGGTAGCAATTTCCGCACGCAATACAAAAGTATACAAAATTTGCGAACTTTGCAAGGCTATATCAGTTTCCGCATTTTACAACATTTCGCAACCAAACTTTGCAATTTTACTCATTTTAGTATGTTCTTTCTAGCTGTGGTGATTTATTTGCATCTCGTTGCCTAGTTTCAAAATTAGTCTATAATGGGAATTGTCTATTCCACTTTACAATTTTTTTAGTTTGGTTCAGCTTACTCCAACTTCCAATAGTCCGGCTTTGGAATGAAATTTGCTCATGCTGTGGTTAAAAAAACTTTTATGTAATAGACTGTAACTTTAGTAATTATTCTATGTAGAAACATGTCTTGGTTTGAAAACATTGCAGTTTGATACGGAAGTGGAATGAATCTGCAACACACTGGTAAGCATTAAATTTGTTGGCAAAATATTACGCGCTTTTCAAAAATTTCTTTCACTTCAAACTTAATACAATACCAATGGCAGAAAAATGTATATATACTGTTTTAATTCACTCGCACTTTATTTACTTCGCCGTTATGATCAGAAAAGTAACCAAAAACAGACAAGCCAATCAAATGCCACGGAAATGAACGGTTGCTACTGGACGATACGTGTTACTGCAACGGTGTATACTTGCCGTGGAATCCGTATCACCCGATTCTTCAGACTCCTAAAATTGGAATTTGTCAGCTCCGTTCTCTAGCTGTGCAAACCGGTGCTCGTTGTGCGAAGTGCATTCACTTGGTGCTGAGTGTGCGAAGTGGTTTCATTTAAAAACACGTATTTTTTACAAAATTTTGATTTAACAAATATAAAACATTTTCCGTGTTGATATACAGTTATATCAACACGAGTGGAAATTGGGAAAACGAGAAATTGTCGAGTTTTCCCAATTTTCACGAGTGTTGATATAACTGTATATCAATACGGAAAAAAGTTTTATATTTGTTTTATAATATAGCACAAAGAAATATAAAGAAAGAAATTTTCCGACGTTTCCGTGTTGACATTGGTTATTTCAACACGGCTCTTAGCCAATCAGCGTTCAGAATTTACAAATGCTATATTATAAAGTAATTTGTAAACTGTTCAAGTGCGCTCTGTTAATATTACGTGAAATACGTCCTCCGCAGGTAACTCTGTAATGTTAAGGCCATTTTCCATTGCAGTCCCGGAGCGAAGCCCTGGCGACTGATTTTTCACGTGATTAAAATTGGTCGCTCCGCCCGCGTGGGTAAAGCGACTGCAATGGAAAATGGCCTTTAAAAATTAAGATTTCTTACCAGAAACGTTGGAAACGTTAAATATCTATGGCGTTATGGAAATATCCATTTACAAATCCCTTCAACAATTAGTTCTATCGAGTAAGAATCCTGATTTTATACCCAAAATCCTGTTATTTACCCATACACCGTACATTGACATCACCTTAGTATAATATACATGAACTTGTGGTTGGAGCTCGACAACTGTCTCTCTGTAGCTCAGTTGGTACAGGGTGCGATAATTCGCATACTTACGTACCGGAGGTACGCCAATATTACTGTCTGGTACTTCTTTGTTTTCAGCCACGTATCACGTAGGTACGCGGAACTCTTGCTATCTGCGTACTTATTTTTTGCTGGTATCACATGACCTTTCCTAGTCCAAGGTATTCAATACCGTAATTTAGTTGGTATATCATGTGTCTGAGATGTCTTGGCATGAAACATGATTGCACTGATGGCACTAAGAAACGTTGGAGTCGGTTGTTTGAAATAGCAAAACTGCCTTTTCAAATAGCAAAACTGCCTTTTCAAATAGCAAAACTCCCTTTTCAAATAGCAAAACTGCCTTTTCAAATAGCAAAACTCCCTTTTCAAATAGCAAAACTCCCTTTTCAAATAGCAAAACTCCCTTTTCAAATAGCAAAACTCCCTTTTCAAATAGCAAAACTCCCCTTTCAAATAGCAAAACTCCTTTTTCAAATAGCAAAACACCCTTTTCAAATAGCAAAACTCCCTTTTCAAATAGCAAAACACCCGTTTCAAATAGCAAAACACCCTTTACAAATGGCAAAACACCCTTTTCAAATAGCAAAACACCCTTTACAAATGGCAAAACTCCGTTTGCTACCTCGTAGTCTGAACATACTTTTCAGAAACCTGTACTTTGTGAACCTTATTTTGAAGACTAAGTACACATTGAGTACTGAGTTTGTTCTAGCGCAAGTACACTGTACGCGGCAACAACCATTGGCGTACCAGTCCGGTACGACTAGAAATCTTGAATGATCGC